CACCGAATGCCATTGTATAGGCCACATACGCATTCAATAGGTCACTACGATTCTGAATGGAATTCGAAGGCGGGCGCATCCCTCTGACAGGGTTGATCAACGCCCAGGGCTTTATTCTTTACCTTTATCCTTTAACTATACAGTAGGTTATGGACAGCATATCTCATCCTTATCCATCCACTGCTTTTGACAACTGACAAAACTGGTGACAGATTTTCTAATAGAATGTTCTCGGAAAAAAATGATTACGTTCTTTGGAATTAAGCTCTTTGTATCCCAAGGGGGACCATTTCTACCGCATTCGTTAATTACCATTGTGAGCCCCATCCGTTTTGAAAACAAAGAAAAAACACAAAAACATCGCATTCCCTAAGATTGACGAGGAATAGCCTTAGTGCGTCATACCGCCCTTAAGAGAAAAAACAGAGGATTGGAAAGTGCAATTCCTCGTCTGAATCAAAATAATTATCACAGAGACTACCCCTGAGGTGCTCTAAAATGTTCGAATTTGCTCTGAAGGATGTATCGGATCGGATACCATCATTCACTTTCCGCCCGAGAGGGAAAAACTCGACAAATTGGTTCAGTTGTTGTAACAGATCGAAACAACAATGCCCGCTCAACGATGAAAGCCCATTAGTTAATGTTCCTAAGCTTTTTATTACAAATCTTTGTTGTAATAGACACGAAGGGGCTCACTATTCTGTGAAGAATTTATTTGATGCCCTTCCATTTCTTCTACGACGGGGATTCGAAGCATTGGGCTCAAGCGAGACACCCATTCTATCATAAATTATCTTCTAACCCCGGAAGAGCACATGAACTTTCAATTCCTTTTTTCTTTTGAATACACCAACATTTTTTTTCACTGTCTAAGAAAAAAAAACTCCTTACTAACCTTTCATTGGTATGTGGCCGATTTCATTTCGTTTTCCGGCTGCCATATTAAAAAGCTCGACGATGAACAGGAGACTAATGGAGAGCATCACATTGAACTTTGCATCGCTGGAATGCCTCTGAAAAAGTGCTAGAAATTGAACAAAGAGAGAAATTAAATTCATAAGGAAGAGAATATGACGAACCAGATCGATGTTAGGAAAAGTGAAGTGTTCGGAAAGCTATATGAGATGAAAAATGATGGTTGCCTTCTGATAACTTCCCCACCTCCC